CTGACATCAAATATAGCAAAAGCGGGGGTTACACTGTGGGGGAGAAACATACAAAGAAACAAAGAAATAATCTTATAAATGCGTTAGAAACACATGCATGAAAGAAAAAAAAACATTAAAATACATATTTAAGGGATCGTTTTCCTAACATCACATTATCTGACCTTTTCCGCTTGACTCATACATATACTAGATATTGCATATAAGGGAAACCATAACCCACGCTTAGTGATTAGGTCTCAGGTGGATATGTACCCAAGTCATGGTTCACCACTTCTCTTCTCAGGACATAGGAGCTTTTAGAATGAGTTGAAAATAAACCTGTCATTCACCCCTGGGAGTGGCCTTGAAATAAAGTGCAATTCATAAGGGAAGAACAACAAAAGTGCTTCTACACATCTGGACAGAACAGACTGAAAAGAGTATTTCTCGTACATCTGTGTGCACACAGTGGCAGAGCATTGTCTTCTCGTTCAAATATATTGGTATTCTGGGATCTTAAATGATCACTATTGACTCCTTCTATTCTTATGATACTGTTTCAAGTATACTGAAATATTTGGCCACATTTTATATGTTGAGATCTCTCTTGGAATGTCTAATTCCACACCTTACAGATGTGGACCGCATTGTCTACATAGTAACTTGAACCTCTGCAAGGCCCTATGAACTAGTCAGAAACATAAATGTATATTCAAGTGCATTCACTTGAAAAGATACCCAACTATTTGTGACAATCTATCATTACCATTATAAGACATTTCAATATCAACTTCAATTGAGGGACAATGACTATCCCTATGGAGTATTTTGGGTTTCTACAAGAATGGAAACTTTCCTGCACGAAGGACAAAGAAACCATTTTTACAAAATATCTTCCTTGGCCTTGGAGTTCTTTCTACTCAGGGCCTGGGTACTGTCCGTGAACTTTTGTAATGAAGGAATAAAAGTGATGACAGACTATCAACTTGATTCACAGCACTACTTGTGGGAAATTTGGTCATAATTGGCTATAAGAGTCTCACAGCATTTCCTACCTAGTTGGCCTTTCAATTGTGATTTTAAACCTCATACTCTTGAGCAACTAAGAATTCCGATATGAAGCACCAGTGCCCTGTTAGATCAGGAGATCTTAACTACTTGATCCAAGCAGGACTCATGGTTTCCACAGAATAGGATATAAAATTCATAACATCATATAGACATATGCAAAGGTCCTTATACAATCTCAATAAAGGACTGTTTACCTATCATTCTGTAAACCACATCCAAATTCTTCCACTAAATATTTGGAAGAATGCATTGTTTGCACAGATAATATTAGTGATCCTCAGTTTGAATTCAGGGGCAAAAATTTGTGAGGCTTCCTTTACCTTCTATACCAGATTCCCTTTTGTATCACTGATTTTTCACCTTAGGGTCTTGCTTCTTTGTCTGGGCCTTACAACACACTAATTTTTTTTGTTTTGTTTTGTTTTTTGGGGTCCGGTAGTGAGGCCTGAACTCTGGGTCTGGGCGCTGTCCCTCAGCTCTTCAGCTCAAGGCTAGCGCCCTACCACTTGAGCCACAGCGCCACTTCCGGCTTTTTTCTTTTTGCTTATGTGGTGCTGAGGAATCGAACCCAGGGCCTCATGCATGCAAGGCAAGCACTCTACCACTGAGCCACCTTCCCATCCCACACTAATTTTTTTTAAATGCCTCCAGGATATCTTTTTTTTGGGGGGGGTCCAGTCATGGGGCCTGGGGCCTGAACTCTGGGCCTGCGGGCTGTCCCTCAGCATTTCAGCTGAAGGCTAGTGCTCTACCACTTGAGCCACAGCACCACTTCCAGCTTTTTTCTTTTTGCTTATGTGGTGCTGAGGAATCAAACCCAGGGCCTCAGGCATGCAAGGCAAGCACTCTACCACTGAGCCACCTTCCCAGTCCTCTCCAGGATATCTTTAATTACATAACTATACAGTGGCATTTATCTTGGCTCTAGAAATTCTAAATTTAGTTCAACCTTTGTGTTTCTGTAAAAGAAGACAGTATATTTGTTGGAAACCAAATTTTGGAAGATGGAATACTGGAGTCCTTATTACACAGCTAGCCGTCTGCAAGCAGCCTTATGTAACAAAGACTTGCAGTCCACAAATACATTTAGACAGCTTGGAAACAGGACAGAAAGGAAAAAAAAAGAATAAAAACAACAGTAAGAAACCAATGCAGAGCTGGGAAGGTGGCTCAGTGGTAGAACACTTGCCTCGCATGCATGAGGCCCTGGGTTCGATTCCTCAGCACCACATAAGCAAAAAGAAAAAAAAAAGCCAGAAGTGGTGCTGTGGCTCAAGTGGTAGAGTGCTAGCCTGAAGAGCTGAGGAACAGCACCCGGGCCCAGAGTTCAGGCGCACGACCAGACCAAAAAAAAAAAAAAAGAAACCAATGCAGCACCAAGAGAGTAATGAATTGGCACATTAGGATGAGCAGAGACAAGCCAGGAGACCGGAAACAGGACATGATCACAGAGACATGTACCATGGCATCTAGGGCCACTTGTGGTCCAGCCTCAATAAGACCTAAGCAGGAGGCAGGTCTATAGGAAATTCCAGTCCCAGGCACTGGACTAACAGATTGAGTAACATATCAGCCAAATGCTCACCCCTGCTTCCAGGGAACCAGCCATACCTATCAGTTGGGTGGCAAGTGATGGATGGGGGCATCTCCTTTCCCCTGCATGAAGAGAAGATGCCAGACCCCACCATCCACCATGTGGCCAATAGGGCACCAGCCACACCTGACCTCCTTACTTAATATTACTGAATTATTAAATCAATTTATAAAATGTTACAGCCTCCTTATCATTTTGTAAACAGTTCAAGAATTTCCTGTTTGTAAAAGCCATTTGTCCTGAGCCCCACCTCTGAAAGAATAATTCTCACATTCACCCAAAAATTAAACATTCTTCTTTTGAATAGTTTATTTCTTCCTTCTTCCTCATTCCTTCCCTTCCTCTTTCCCTCTCTCACTTCCCTCCCTCCTTCCTCCCTCCTTCCTTCCTTCCTTCCTTCCTTCCTTCCTTCCTTCCTCTCTCAGGGCCTAGAACTGATGCTGTATCTCAAGTGGCATATGATTTTATTTTTTTGTTACCTTCAATTTTTGTGAGAGATTGATCAATATCTTTGTGTGCTTGATTATTTCCCCTAATGTTATATCCACTTTGGCCTGATATAACACAGGTGAGACACATCGTTCACACTGGTATTTTGTAATAGCTCACTCAGCAGAACAACTAAATATGCTAAGAGTGAATCAATCACAAGTTGCTCATCACCAGTGATTAATTAAAGAAAAGAGCAAGCACTGAAGACACTTTGGGGTTCTCCCCCAAGGCAAAATGCAGAGATTCTAGTCTTTATTAATCCATCATATTTTTTAAAATATATATTTTATTTATAAAGATACTGTATAGATTGGTTATACCATTATATGAGTTAGGTCATGAATACATTTCCTATTGAGCATTGTTACCCCTCCGAGAAAGACTTCAGTACTATATATATACTGCAATAAGGACTAATATCTTCCATTAGATCTTCCATTCAAAAACTGAACTGGAATAAGTAAGTCATCTGTACTATAAGGTATGGATCACACATACAGAGGGAGACTTAAGAGAACAGTAGAAAAATGGTTGTTCTCATGTTCTTGCCTCCTATCATAACACTCTTTACTCGACTATTGTTCCCCTAACTATGTTGGAGATGATCTGAATCCAGTCCTAAAGGGCCAGAACTCATATTTCTAAGAAGAGTTTATCAAATTACTCTGATACACCATTCCTTAGTATAAAAGACACAAGTTAATAACTTCAATCTCTGAATTACTTGTCGAGACTGCTTGTTTCTACATGCTTTGGATAATATTGAAGGACACCATCCCCACTCAACACAATGAGAAATGTTGGCTCAAAGAGAGCTGAAGAGTGAAGAATGGTTTCCCATCACATCTAAATTACCTCTGCCATGAAGAATTTCTCTGTATAATTTACAGAGGTTCTCTGACAATGATTTTCCTACATTGGGTTTCTTTCCGGAGTGAATGTTTTAATAATTGTTGAAGGTTGGCTTCTGGTTGAAAGACTTCCTCTCATGTTTATATTGACAGAAATTCTGTCATGTGGCCAGGTCTCTGATACCTGTATAGATGTGACTTCTGGCAAAATGTTTTCTATACTCATAATTTCTCTCCTGTGTATGATCACACTTATGCTGAGGACTCAATTCTGATTGAAAGTCATTTCAAATAGGTTCTATTCACTACTTTATTTTCTCCTATGTGAGTCAGTTCTCTGATGAACACTGAGGTATTCTTTTCAGATCGAAGGATTTCCACAATTGTAATATTTTTAACATTCCTCCACTGTGTGTTCTATGAACTTGGATACATGGTAAAGGACTTTCCACATTTGTTACATTTGTATTTTCTCATCTGTGTCTGTTCTCTGATGCAAACTGAGTTATGACTTTTTTAGAAAACCTTTACATTTTTCCTACAAATGATTTCTCTCCTCTTTGTGTATGTGTGTGTGTGAGGGAGAGAGAGTGTGTGTCTGTGTGTGTCTGTGTGTGTCTGTGTGTTTTGTGTGTTCTGTGAACCCAGAGCTGTGTCTTCTAGTTGAAGGACTCCACATCTGCTATATCATAAGGTCTCTATCCTGTATTATTTCTGTATTGCAATTTCAATTTTCTTACAGATCAAAGACTTTCCCCATTTGGTACAGTCCTAAGTTATTTCATTTGTGTGAATCAACTTATGTGTGTTAAGCTGTGACCTCCAGGTCTTTCCACACTGTTTGCATTCATAAGGTTTCTCTCCTTGTGTTCTGTGATGGATGTTAAGGTTTGCCTTCCAGGTGAAAGAATTTCCATGCCTGCTACATACATAACATTTCTCTCTGGTGGGTTTTTTCTGATGGACAGAAAGGTGTATTTTCTGGGTGAAACACTTTCCACATAGGTTACATTCATAAAATTTCTCTCCTGTGTGTGCTCTCTGGTGGACAGTAAGGTGTAGTTTCTGGCTGACAATCCTTCCACACATATAACATTGATAAGGTTTCTTTCCTGTGTGTTTTCTGATGGACAGTGCAGTTTGACTTCTGGGTGAAAGACTTTCCACACATGTTACATTCATAAGGTTTCTCTCTTGTGTGTGTTCTGTGGTGGACAGTAAGGTATGACTTATTGGTGAAAGACTTTCCACACGTGTTACATTCATAAGGTTTCTCTCCTGTGTGTGTTCTCTGGTGGACAGTAAGGTGTATCTTCTTGGTGAAAGATTTTCCACATATGTTACATTCATAAGGTTTCTCTCTAGTATGTGTTCTCTGGTGGACAGTAAGGTTTGATTTCTTGGCGAAAGACTTTCCACACACGTTACATTCATGAGGTTTCTCTCCTGTGTGTGGTCTCTGGTGGCTAGTAAGATATGCTTTGCAGGTGAAAGACTTTCCACAAATGTTACACTCATAAGGTTTCTCTCCTGTGTGTGTTCTCTGGTGGACAGTAAGTTGTGACTTCTGGGTGAAAGACTTTCCACACAAGTTACATTCATAAGGTTTCTCTCCTGTGTGTGTTCTCTGGTGGCCAGTAAGGTGTATCTTCTTGGTGAAAGATTTTCCACACATGTTACATTCATAAGATTTCTCTCTAGTATGTGTTCTCTGGTGGTCAATAAGGTTTGACTTCTTGGCAAAAGACTTTCCACACACGTTACATTCATGAGGTTTCTCTCCTGTGTGTGGTCTCTGGTGGTTAGTAAGATATGCTTTGCAGGTGAAAGACTTTCCACAAATGTTACACTCATAAGGTTTCTCTCCTGTGTGTGTTCTCTGGTGGACAGTAAGTTGTGACTTCTGGGTGAAAGACTTTCTACACAAGTTACATTCATAAGGTTTCTTTCCTGTGTGTGTTATCTGATGGACAGTGAGAGTTGACTTCCGGGTGAAGGACTTTCCACACAAGTTACATTCATAAATTTTCTCTCTGTGTGTTCTCTGGTGTCTAGTAAGATATGCCTTGCAGGTGAAAGACTTTCCGCAAATGTTACATTCAAAAGGTTTCTCTGTTTTGTGTGTTCTTTCGTGGCTAGTAAGCTTTGATTTTTGGGTGAAAGACTTTCGACACACATTACATTCATAAGGATTCTGTCCTGTGTGTGTTCTCTGAGGGACAACAGGGTGGGTCTTCTCAGTGAAAGACTTTTCACACTCTTTACATTCATCAACTACAGAAGACACATGAGGACTGTATGCAGCATACATCTTACCAGGTTCACAGAAAACACCCATGTTCTGACAGCCAGTGACCTTTTCTATCCTCATCCCTAAGGAGTTTGCATTATTCTTAATCAGTTCTGACTTCTGTATGGAGCTCAAATGAAAACTTCTTGTAAGTCTCACTTTTTCCTCCCCTGAGTTACTATTCATGACTGCTACTTCAGAGAGATATTTATAGTGACTTTCCTGACAGGTGCTAATCACATCCTCCATTTCTGGGGCATCTATAATGAGTAATAGAAAAATAGACAAAAACATAAATGAGATCTATAAATTCCTTAATGTAAAGATATTTTCTCACATCTGTTACAAGATTTTCAAATATCAAAGCATTGCTTTATGCAGAATATATACTTTTCTCTGCAATGTAGTAATTAAGAAAGTAGTACTGACATTTTACAATGGAAAATAATGTTTTTCTGTATTTAAGATTTTTCTATTTTTCTCAAGGAAATATTTACTGAAATTATTCATCTATGTACTCTTAATGCTTCGATTCTGAATCTCCCTCAATGCCCAGCACCACTGATAAGAAATTGTCCCGATCAGAGGATAGCAGCCCTAGCATACACCTATTTTCTTCCTACCTGCATAATACTAGTTTAAAAGAAAATGAGATCTCCTTTCTACATTTCTTGTTGTCATTTTCTCTTTAAGAATGACTTCTGTACAGACAAAGAGAATTGGTAACATTAAGTACACTGGCACACCAAATTCAGTTTGTCTCCACATGAATTCTGGATTGACAATTCCTTGATACAAAGGATCACCTAGTTCTCTCCCACACATGACTCAGGGGCTCTAGGAATACTATCACTCTGTACAGCTCAAGATAAACAGATCAACTGGGCTCTGGATCTATCATCACCATTCAAGATGCTTTAACTCACCTGTGAAATTCTTGTCTGAGGCTTCTCTTACCCATGGTTCTGCCCCTTGCTCCAGCTTCACAATCAATTCAGGTTTAGGAACACAGTGCCCTGTGATTAAGAAATAGTGGAGAACAATTGTTCTTGCTGGGTCATCATTAATGTAAGGTTGCAGACATCCTGTTCACAAGGTTGCTCCTAAATCTGGTGTCTTAATTGTTTTTGTAGGGGGTATGTCCAGTTGTGGGGCCTGAACTCTGGGCCTGGGAGCTGTCTCTCAGCTCTTAAGCACAAGGCTAGCACTCTATCACTTCAGCCACAATGGCAATTCCAGCTTTTTTTTTTCTGCTTATGTGGTGCTGAGGAATCAAACACAGGGCCTCAGGCATGCAAAGCAATTGCTCTACCACTGAGCCATCTTCCCAGCCCATGGTTTCTCAATTCTTAACAACTCCATGGTGGAGTTTCCCCCAGCTTTTAGTTTATTGTGCCAATTGTGTGGCTTGAACTCAGCTCTTTTGCTAAAAGCTAGCATTCTACTTCTTTGAGTCTTGGCTACATTTCTAGTTTTTGAATGGTTAACTGGAGATAAGAGTCTCATGGTCATTTTTCTACAGTTGCTGGCTTCAAACTAAAATCTTCAGATTTCAGCCTCCAGAGTATCTAGGATTCCAAGCTTGAAGCACTAAACCATGTGTCAAGTTTGGCTTACAAATACACACTTTAAACTACTGATTTCCAGATCATACTGTCAGTAATAATGTATATTCTCTCTAGACTGTAGATCCACCTATAATAATCACCCCAAGGCTGGGAACTCAGTCTCTTATTAGTGGATCATAGTTTAGAAATTTTGCCAACTACTGATTTGCCTTCTTAAAGAATGAGAACAAAATTAGCTCTTGAGTTACATATAATGAAGTTGAAGTTTCCCTTACAAAGAAATGACACTTCCCATGAAGTGGAATCTTTTTTTTTTTTTTTTTTTTAAGAAATGTAATGATGCAAAGGCTTATACCTGTAACACTTCCTTTAGGAGGTGACATCAGAAGAGGCAGGCTTGAAACCAACCTGGGCATGGAAACCCAGAATATACCCCAAAACAAAAGCCAAAATGGAGTTGTGGCTCATGCAGTAGTGCAAAAGGCAAACAACACCAAGCTCCTAGACCTCAATTTGGCTGGCTTTTATACTAGCAGTTTTTAACCTGGGAATGGACTGGAATCTTATACCTAAATAACATGAACAGTCAAATATCTACAAAATAAAAGCACTTGATCTTCCAATTAAAAGCGACCTTTGCTCACCCAAGGACATGAGGTTGCTATAGGTCTCCAGCATTACATCTCTGTGAAGGGTCCGCTGACTAGTATCCAGATCCTGCCACTCCTTCCAGGTGAAGTCCACAGCCACATCATCAAATGACATCAGCTTCTGTAATGGCATATTTCCATGAAGAAATCAGACCTGGGTAATGAGAATTCCAATCTGGAATTTCATTATGCTGCAGGTATGCTTTTGTCTTATATAAAATGTTTGCAGCTTGCTGTGTTATCTATTCACTGGGGAAATTAAATAGCAAATTAGAAATATTTGACAACATATAAACCTGGTCATTAAAATACACAGATTGGCAGGGCACTGGTGGCTAATGCCTGTAATCATAGCTATTGAGGAGGCTGAGGTCTGAGGATCAAGGTTCAAGGCCAGCCCAGGCAGGAAAATGCCTGAGACTCTTATGTCCAATAAACCACCAGAAAACTGAAAATAGCACTGTGACTCAAGTGGTAGAGCACTTACCTTGATCTGAAGACCTGAGGGACAATAACCAGGCCCATAATTCAAGCCCTGAGACCAATAAAAAAATTACAGTTTCTCTAATGCATGCAATCATATTGCTGCTGCTAGCAATAGAGACAAGATAAAAATTTAAGGACAAATGGCATGACAACATTAAATCTAAGGAGGTATCTTAAAAATTATATTATCATTTTTTGGTAAAATTTTAGTACATATCAGTTTGACAGTGAATTAATCAAATATTTTTTCCTGCATTTACATATACTGCTCCACCATAAATCCTAATTAGACCTTCTATTAACAAGTACTCTCATAAGCAAGCAGCGCACATTCAGGGTATCACATGGAATACAGAACGTAGAACATTACTAGATCTATGAGAAGCAGTGTCCACATGAATGTTAAAAAGCACTAATAGTACTCCAGAAAATAGCTAATGATTTATTTGGCCCTGATAAGATTTGATTGAGTTCCCACATAAAAATATCCTAGGTTAACCATGTTTGGTTTAAATATTGAAATGTGGTCATAGATACTGTGATATTAAAATCCTATGTAAAAAAGAACTGCTACCATGAAGTTTTGTAAACTTTGCCTACATTCTACAATACAAAATATAGGTGGGAGGGGAATAAAATACTCCTTTACAAGATTTTCATTTTAATAGGCTTCATGGAAGGTGGAAGAAAATGTATAGAGGCTCAAGGAACACTCAAGATAACAAAAATGATAAATATGACCAAATGATCAAATGTGGCACATATTCCTGAATCATTTCTCTAGTAGATCATTAAGGATATATTTCCACTTGTGCTAGTTAATAGCGAAATTCCACAGAGATCAAAATCAATTCCTCAGCAATCATATGTGAGAGTTTGCAACAAGTGATATTTCTAATAAAGAACACCTTGTCACTGTATTTTTAAAAAATCAAAACCAGTTCCTATCATAAACTGGCAGTGAATGAAAATATTCAAAATTAGTGGAAACAAAACAGAATACAACATCAAATGAAGTTAGACCAAAGATAACAGAATCAGGAGAAAACTGATTTTCTTGTACTGTACAAATTGGGGGAAGTAAGTACTTTTCTGTAGGGAACTCTGAAATTGAGCTGAAGGGGAAAAGGTTTGAGAGGTTGGAATCCCAGCCTGACCTCAATGAGAGCACTGAGAGCTGGCCACAGAAGGCTTAAAAGAGAATTCTGGAGAGGGTTATGAGACCAGAGTACAGGCCTTTTCCTTACTGTTGGAAAGATAGCATCTGAAACTGAGGTGCTGTTGACCTTGAAGGCTAGGTAAGGTGAACTTCATGTCTGCATTTTCTCTGGGAGCCAGTCTTCTGTCTCAGAAGAATGAGGAAACATATTTCCCTCACAGACTGTTGTGGCTCTGATTGTACTATAAATATAGATACTTCATTTTCCCATGTTATCAATAGTAATCTTCCCTGTGTGCACTCAAGGAACTATGCTTGCTTGCTGGTACCCAGGGACCAAGTGCCAGAGAGTCTCAGGACCCCTGGTTTCCCCTACGTCTATGTGTTTATGTTTTTGTATTTCTCTAATTTTCTTTGTTTCTGGAATACTGTAGAACTCTCTATGCAACAATTTTCCTATACAATGGGTAAGAAAAATGTCAATCCTAAGAGCAATGTCAGCAAAATAAGATCATTAAGAAAAGCTATTTCCCAGATAGATCATTTGAAGAAAAGAAACAACTGAGACACATATGGAGGAAAGAGGGAATGAGAAAAGTAAGAAAAAATGATAGAAAGATAGATACAAAGTTAAAGAGAAAAATAACCAACACTAGTGAGTAGAAAATCAAAGATAGAGAGAGAATAATAAAGGAAAGAAATCTTGTGAGGATACTTTAGAAAACAAACAGGAATTTGTAGAAAGACCATAATGTTTAGCAACAAATATAGCCTAAGTTTCAAGTAAGACCAAGACCATGAAGTAGTCCAACAAGTATATATGGAGAGTAATTTAAGTACATATAGGTTAATCATCCCTTAAACACATGAATGTGTGTGTGTGTGACCACAACACTATTTCAGCAATTCCAGGAAAATTTCATTGAGATAGTTTAATGTTACTCATGAGGATGTGATCTGGTTGCAATCTATCCTTCACCTTCCATGAGAAGTAACCTGCTCGGTGTCATTACATCACATAACAGATTTGATTAAATTTTATGAGAAGACGAAATCTAGACATTCTGAAGGCAATCTGCATTCAACTTAGAATGAATATAACCATTTAATCTGCTAAACCTACAAGCAATCTTTATCTGCTAATCTATAAGCCATCTTTATCTGATTTATGAATATGTTCCTGAGGCTGAATCTGTGTGGTTGGTAATGTTTTAAATT